AGATTGAGTTCATTGAGTAAGTTGAGTAGGTCACATGAGTAAGCAACTTTTACAGCCCATTTCAGTTTCGCCAAAATGTGCTGCCAGTGGCCTTAGCCAATGTGGCTCTGTTTTTCTTTATAAAAAAAAATCGCTGGAGAGACTCTCATAACTCAAAATCCCTGGCCAGTGATCTCTCTGTAGAAAGCCCCCTCACTTCTGTGTGTAAGAGAGGACGCGTGTGCTCTGCGTGAATCTCCTCACAGAGCTGTGTGAACAGACGTGAGTTAAGGGCATGTGCTTTAATGTGGTTGATCGTTTTAATCACATCCTGCAAAACATTTTTAAGTTCAGGTGACATTTTTCGGCTAGCCAGCATTTCTCTGTTGATGACACAGTGCGTAGACCCACATTCAGAAGCGACCTCTTTGACCCGAGCAGTGAACCCAGAGCGCCATCCAGTCATGACAGCCACTCCATCTGTGCATATACTGACACAAAATGACTGATTCAGTTTTCCTGATGTGAAAGACTTGAATAGTTCTGCAGCTGTGGTGTTAGTTGACAACAAAAGTGTGCATATATCCTCATGCACATCCTCCTGAAAAATGTATCACACAAAAACAAGCATTGTTGCCTTGTCAACATCTGTAGACTCGTTAACTTGGATTGTGTACCACGGTGACTCATTAATGCTCTCTAACAGTTGTGCCTCAATACCCTCTGCTATTTCATCAGGTTGTCTAGTTGCGATGCTAGCTGAAAGAGGAACATGGGCCTCTCCTAAAAGTTCACAACAAACGTCCTTAGCAGCAGGCAGAATCAACTCTTCCCCAGCAGTAAAGGGCTTCTCAGCTTTCGCAATGCAGTCAGCCGCAAAGAATGATGCTCTTAGCGCAGAGACATTTGATGAAATGGTGGCCTTCAATAATTGTGGCTGTTTTTCGTGTTCACATATTTTTTTTCTTTTGAAAAACTCCAAAGCCTTGTCTTTTTAATGCAGGGTGCTTGGTGTCTATGTGGCAAAGCAGTTTTGAAGGCTTCATGGCTTTTTTGGCTAGCTAGTCACCACATATTATATGAAGCAGGGTTGGAGAATGTGAATCACTTGTTGCAATGAACCCATAATCTAAATGGGACTCGGTATTCTCTTTTAAATGCAGCTTTCTTTTTGTTTGCAGTCTTAGAGGCTTCTGCTCTCTCATCATTGGGTCTTTCCCCCTTTTCAAAGAATTTCTGCAGCAATGTTTGTTTTTCAGTAATTTTGGCTAGGGTTAGCATATGGACTTACTAAAACTGTGACTGAGACTAGTGCGCAGTGTGGGAAAGACACGCAGATAGAAGTGGTCAATAAAATAATGGGCAGAGCACGTGCGGACTAAAATAAGTGTGTGTCAGATTCTGACTTAAAGCTGCCACCAGATGCAGCTTCATTGTCACTTGCCACTCACTGATAGGGTTTTGATATCACTCAGCAAGCAACTGATTTATTATGGTCGCTGAGGTCAAACCTCTCTGCTAATGATAATCTGTATTTGCAGCTGCTCCCCAGTTCTAGCATCACCACCTCAGCTCCTCAGATCATCAGGCATTAGATTCTCATAAGGAGCGCACAACATCGACCCCCTAGCATGAGCAGTTCACAGTAGGGTTTGTGCTCCTATGAGAGGCTAATGCTGCTGCTTATCTGACAGGAGGCAAAGCTCAGATGGTAATGCGAGCCATGGGGAGTGGCTGTAAATACAGCTGAAGTTTCACTCACTGGCCTGCTGTTCACCTCTTGCTGGGCGACCTGGTTCCTAACAAGCCATGGACTGGTACTGGTCCGTGGCCCAGAGCTTGGGGACCCCTGAGTTAGAGGATGGTCTTGGTACAACAAATTTATAGGTTTGACCCCCAGTCAGGGCACATACAAGAATCAACCAATAAATGAATAAATAAGTGGAACAACAAATCAATGTTTTTCTCTCTCTCAAAAAAAAATCAATAAGTAAAAATATTTTAAAAAGAAAATATAGCCCTGGCTGGTTCATTTGGTAGGAGCATCATCCTGTAAACCACAAAGTCACGGGTTCAGTTCCCAGTTGGGACACATGCCTAGGTTGTGGGTTAGATCCCTGATCAGGACGTGTACTCGAGGCAACCAATCAATCTGTCTCACGTTGATATTTCTCTTCCTCCTTCTCTATCTTTCTCCTTCTTGTCCCCTCTCTCTCAAAATCAATAAGCATGTCCCTGGGTAAGGATTTTTAAAAAAAGAAAGAAAGAAAATGTAGTTAGTGTACTTGGCCCCATGGTGACTGGATGCAAAACCTAAATGCAGGGTCTGGGAAAATACAGTTAGAACATTTTTATCTCCTCTTCTTTTCAATTGCAAGGGATGGAACCTCCAGCACAATGAGTTGGGTAGTGAAAGCAGGTGTCTTTGCCTTATTTCTGATCTTGGGGGAAAAACAGAAGGAGGGCAAGGTGCCATGGAGGGGCAAATGGTGGGGCAGTGATGCGCATGACCAATGAGGATGGGAGAGTGGAAGCTCAGGAAAATTTGGGGAAGATTTAAGACAGTGGTCCTCAAAATGTGGTCCACGGTTCATTATATCCTTCTCCTCATGACACTGCTGTCCCCTCCCCATGGCCACTTACTGCATTTAGGCTCTACACAGCCTTGCGTCACAAAACACCAGGCCCTCCTCCTCCCACAAGCCCCCTCTGTGAGTGAAGCCATAACTTGAGGCTGACTCCCAGGCCCTCTGATTCTTTTGAAGAAAGGATGAACAAATCAGAAGACCACATGCCATCTCTAAACAGAAATCGTGCCTCACAATTCCTAGCCTCAGGGTGATCCAACGGGGTCAGGGGACTGAAGGTGACATAGAATGTGCAACTTGCATCTAGAGAGACTGTATGTGGAACCAGCATGAGGGCACCTGCACAGCAGGTTCTCTGCGAAATTTAGAGTTTATTTTGTAAAAGTTCTGTGCTGCCCAACGGAATGATCAGTGACACCCCTGGTGGAGTCCCCTTCCTCAGGCAGCCTGACAATGAGGAGAATGTCCAGCTAGGTCCCATAGCTAGAGAAGTAAGGTGAGAATGGAACCCAAGTGTCACCCCACAAAAAAGACAGGCCACCCTCTGGAGGTCCTGCCAAGAAGCCAGTAGGTTCCCTGTCCTCTCTTCTGCCCACATTTACAACTGTTATCAATTCACAAGCATCTTTCACAGCCCAGAGGACTACATGACCTTAAGGCTCTGTGGCCTCAACTTCCCCATGGGTAAAATGGAGATAACAGTACACCCGCCACAGAACGTTGTAAAGATGAAAATGGGGCAATAGATGTTTAGTGTCTGACTCAGATAAGAAAGCTCCATAAAATTTGAAACCCCTGTTCTCAGGCCTGGGAGGAGGGTAAGAAAAGCAGACACAGAGGTAGGCAGGGGTTGTCTGACTGGCCTTGGGAGAAATGTGGGAGAAAGTGTTAGGATTGGGGAAGAAACTGATAAAAAAGGAACTTGGTCTGCTTCTTGCATCTTCAGAAGACCAAGGCCACTTCCTCTGAAGAAATCATGACTGTTCACCCACACGGTCTACTCAGTAAATTGATGCCAACCTCATTCTGGGGGAGGAATGGGTAGAGCCTCCAGTGAGTCACCAAAGGTCCCAGTCCCCAGTTTCTCACCCTGTTCACCACCAGTCACAGTCTGGCATTGATGGTCCCAAGACTGTCCCTGGGGTGACCCATTATTGCTCTAAGTCTTAACCCCCTCTGTCCAAGGACCACTCTGGATTGGTCAGGCCTCTCACAGCCATGGATGAAATCACCTAAGGAATATTATAAAAATGCAGCCTCCTGGAGCTCATGCTCCAGAGCTGTGCACCTTATGCCCAAGCCTAGAGATTTTGTGGAACAACCATGTAGAAGCATCCAGAAGGGACAGAAGGTTCATGGACTTCACAAGACTGGAGCCTTTGAGCCTTAGCTGGTGTGGCTCTGTTGGTTGGAGCATCATCCCATCATAAAACATTGTGGGTTTGATTCTTAGTCAGGGCACATGCCTGTGTTTAGGGTTCAATCACCAGTCCAGGTATGTGTGGGTGGCAACCAATCAATGCTTCTCAGATCAATGTTTCTCCCTCTCCCATTGCTCTCTCTCTAAAAGCAATGAAAAGATGTTCTTGGGTGAGAATGAAAAAACCCAAAGACTGTAATCCGTGTCCTGGACCCATCACCTGAGAGTCATGGACTTGGGGCACTTCCTCTCCGAGTCTTGGTCACCTCAAATGGGAAGTGGTAAAGACAGATGACCTTGCAGATCCAGATTTGAATTCTATGGGTTAGGGCATGGCCACCAGAGACCCCACTCTCTGGGGAGATGGAAGGGTAAGACCACCCTCACCTCTTAACTTCAGAGAGGGTGTGAGATGCACAGAGGGAACGGAATGGGGGCTGTGGATCTTGTTTCTGCCTGGGGACTACAGGGGAGGGCCAGAGGCCAAGGGCAAGCCAGATGCACCTGGGGCTGGGGGCTGAGGGCGTCTTCATCAGCGTCTCCCCCTCCTACTCTCTCTAAGGGGCTGTAACTGGGCAGAGACTCAGGGCTGCTTTTCCTCTCTTGAAAGAGCCTGAGCTGGTCCTGCTGCCACCACTTCCCCTGGACTGAGAGGGAAACAGAGGCTAAGAGGCACCCAGAGAAACAGAGAAAAGGAGAGAGAGAGAGAGAGAGAGTGAGCAAGCTGGAGACTGAATCCTAGGAGATGAGCAAGTCCCTGGCAGAGACAGGCAGTTGAGGTGGGAGGGGGGCAGCCCAGGCAGCCAAGGTAAGGACCATACCCTTTAGTGTGAAGATGGGTACTGGGGGACCTTTATTATGGCTCTTTTTCACTGACAACAAGAGAGGCCCTTTTGCAATATAGGAAAAGAAGAAGCCAGATGGAGGAAGGAAGTGCTAGTCACTCTGGGGCAGGGGTGTTTGGAGAAGGCTCCCCCCCCACCCCCACCAGCCCTCTGAAGGAGCCTGATCCCACCCCTCCCAGTTGTCAGACTACACCAAGGCAGCCTCTCCCTTGGGCCTCCCCTCTGGCCTAGAGGCTCTGCTTGTCTTCTCATCCCCAGGAGGAGAGCAAGGTGATGGGTCTGCCCCTGCTGCTGCCCCTGCTGCTGCCCCTGCTGCTGCCCCTGCTGCTGTTGCCACTAGCATCTCTGCAGGATGGTGAGTGGCCAGGACCACCTGGCTCTGCCCAGGGTTAGGGGGGCAGAGAAGGGGGGTCTGGGGAGTCTGTGGCCAGGCCTCTGGAGATGGGGTCTGCTGGGGTAGCCAACCAGGCCTCCCACCCACAACAAGCAATGGTCTGGGCTGGTCCCACAGTGCTGGGTCCCCCACACCCCTCACTCTCCTTTCTACCCCAGGCCTGGAAAGGGCGACACATAGCCAGAGGGCCAGACATATGTCTGCCACACTTCTGCCCATGGGTGAAGGTGCCAGGCAGTCTGGGGTTATCTTTTTGTCTCTCCAAGTGGCTTCAAAGTCTCTCCCTCTTTCTCCCTCCTCCAGGTGGCTCAGCAAAATGCAAATCAGTCATACCTTATGAAGTCAACCAACCAAAGCACCTCTCAGCCCCTGTGGGTGGTTCCATCCACATCCCCTTCTCCTTCTGTTACCCCTGGGAGTTAGCTGAGGATCCCAGGGTGAGAATATCCTGGAGAAGGAGAGAGTTCCATGGGGAGTTCATCTACAGCACAACCCCGCCTTTCACCCATGAGGATTACAAGGACCGCCTCTCCCTGCTCTGGACAAAGGGCCAGAGAAACGGCTCCCTCCAGATCTCTAACTTGCGGAAGGAGGACGAGTCTGAATACTTCTGCCGAGTTCATTTGAACACACGGACAGAACGAGGTGAGGAAAAGTGGCAGTCCATTGAGGGGACCAAACTCACCATCACCACAGGTGAGTCCTGCTGCCCCAGCCTCTGGTGCCCTCCTGCCCCAGAACTGGTCCAGGAGCCTCTCTTCCTGACCCTTCTCTCAAATCCTCCCCCCCCCCCCCCCCCCCGGCTCTTGACTCCTTCCCAGGCCTCTGACAACTTTACCTTTTTCGCCATAATCTCCCCAAACTTGGGCTGCATTCCTTGCCTATCCCCCTCACTGTCCCCTTCAGATTCTGTCCCCAACCCCATCCCCATCCCCAGTCTTCAGCCCTTACCTGGCTCCCTGGTTGTCTTCCCTTCTCGTTCCACACTGGGGTTCCAGCCCTGCCCCCTGTCCTAGCCCCAAGTCCTCCAAATGAACTTGACTTTCCCAGGATGTGGCCTGCCTTCCCTTTGCCATGTACCTGTGTGTGGAGCCCTAGTGAGCCCCATATCTGTGTCTCCCCACAGCCATGAGCTCAGCCTGGCACACACAGGAGATACCCAATGAGGGCCTGAGGATGCTCCTAGCCTGGCCCCTGTTAACACCCCACCACCTGTTTTTCCAACTTCCCTGCTTCCTTTTCTTACTCTGCTCCACAGTACGTGTCCCTCAATGCTCTCAGTTTATTCTTTATTTCCAAGTCTCAGGTTCTATTTCGCTCATTTGTTTGCTTTGTTGATTAGGTTCCACTTATAGGTGAAATCATATGGTATTTGTCTTTCACTGCCTGGCTTTTTTTACTTAGCATAATGCTCTCCAGGTCCATCCATGCTGTTGCAAAGGGTAGGAGTTCCTTCTTTCTTTCTGCTGCATAATATTCCATAATGTAAATATACCACAGCTTTTTTATATACTTATTTACTGATGATAGGCTGTTTCCAGCACTTGACTATTATAAATAAAGCTGCTATTAACACTGGGGTGCATAGGTTGTTTTGAATTGGTGATTCAGGATACTTAGGGTACAATTCCAGCAGTGGGATAACTGGATTGAAAGGCAATTCCATCTTTAGATTTTTGAGGAATTCCATACTGTTTTCCACAGTGGCTGCATCAGTCTGCATTCCCACCAACAGTGTAACAGGGCTCCCTTTTCTCTACAACCTTGCTAGTACTTGTTGTTTATTAATTTATTGATGATGGCCATTCTGACCAGTGTGAAGTGGTATGTCATTGTGGTTCCAATTTGCATCTCTCTAATGGCTAGTGATGACCACCAACTTACACCATACACCAAAATAAACTTAAAATGGATAAAAGACTTAAATACAAGTTGTGATACCATAAAAGTCCTAGAGGAAAACATAGGCAGGAAAATTTTAGATATTCCAAGCAGCAATATTTTCACTAATACATCCCCTTGAACAAAGGATATAAAGGAAAGAATAAACAAACGGGACTGCATCAAACTAAAAAGCTTCTGCATGGCTAAAGAAAATGTCAACAAAATGGAAATGGAACCAACTGTATGGGAAAACATATTTGCCAAAGGGTTTGATCTCCAAAATATATAAAGAACTCACACAACTCCACATCAGGAAGACAAACAATTCAATTAAAAAATGGGCAAAGGAACTGAACAGATACTTCTCCAAGGAGGACATACAGAGAGCCCACAGACTGATGAAAAAATGCTTTTCATCACTTTGAATATTTCTTGCCAATCTCTTCTGGCCTTCAAACTTTCTGTTGAGAAATCAGCTGAAGGTTTTATGGGAACTCCCTTGTAAGTAACTAACTGCTTTTCTTTTGCTGCTTTTAAGATTCTATCTTTGTCTTTAACTTTTGGCATTTAATTATGATGTGTCTTGGTGTGAGCCTCTTTGAGTTCATCTTGTTTGGGACTCTCTGTGCTTACTGGACTTGTATGTCTATTTCCTTCACCAAATTAAGAAAGATTTCTGTCATTATTTTTTCAAATAGGTTTTTAATTTCTTGCTCTCTCTCTCCTCTCCCTCCATCCCCATGATGTGAATGTTGGTACACCTGAAGTTGTTCCAAAGACTCCTTACACTATCTTAATTTTTTTCTTTTTGATATTCCTTTTTTTAAAATATTTTATTTATTTATCTTTAGAGGGGAAGGGAAGGAGAGAAATATCAATGTATGGTTGCCTCTTTTGAGTCCCCTGCTGGGAACTGGCCAGCAACCCAGGCATGTACCCTGACTGGGAATCAAACCGCAATCATGTGGTTTGCAGGCCCGCGCTCAATCCACTGAGCTACACCAGCCAGGGCATCTTTTTGATCTTCTTATTGGGTGTTTTTTGTTTCCTTATATTCCAAATTGCTGATTTGATTCTTGGCTTCATCTGCTCTACTGTTGATTCCCTGTCAATCGTTCTTCATTTCAGCTAGTGTATCCTTCATTTCTGACTGGTTCTTTTTTATGCTGTTGGAATTCTCTCTAAGTTCATTGAGCATTCTTTTAACCAGTATTTTGAACTGTCCTCTGTAAGCAAACAAAACAGTTTCAGCTGCCTGCTGCAACAAAAACTGTACTCATGAGGCAGGTGCTGGTGCAAAAGAAGAGAAATTTTATTCAGGTGCCACACAACCTGAGAGAATGGTAGACTCCTGTCTTAAAGACCATCTCCTCTTCCTGCTCAAGCCCACAGTTCTCCTAGGAATTAGAGAGGGGAGTGCTATTTTTTTCTACCCAATAATCTTGCTACCTGTTGGCATGCTCAGTCCTATCCATTTATATTTCCAGCTTTTGGCATGCTTGGGCCGGCCATTGCTTGTGTTTTGCCTGTGGCCACCCAGCACAAGCTACAAAGCAATCTGCAGATGGCTACTACTTGTGCTAGACTTGGAGGTTCCTAAGCAAGGCCAAGCTGTGAACCAAGTCTGGCTGATGCTAGTGCTGGGCCAAGGCCAGCTGCTACTAGTACAAGACATACAGGGCACACTGAGGCCAGATACTGCTTGTCTGAGAAACTGCAGGAGAATCTGAAGCATGAGGCGATACAGAATATTTGTATGGAAAAGCCACTGGAAACAGCTTGGGTGAGCCCAAAAGTTTGGTGGGGTAGTGTATCAGGGAATCACCAGGGCAGGGCCAACAGTGTGAGCTTGGTGGTTAGAATCTCATATATCATGCCCACCTGCTGGCTCTGTGTGGGGAGAGCTCACAAAAGGAACAATGGTCTCTCAGCATTTCTGCCTGGGGGAAAGTTGCCCCCCAACTCTTGTCCTGATGCTAGACAATTCATTTCCTCCTCATATGTCTCTGTTGCCTTTCAAACTACTGACCCAGTGTTGGAGCTCTGAGAGAGTGAGTCCAAGTAATTTCATATGCAATCCCTATCAGAGAAATTGCCTGGGACTCAAGAAGCTGTCTCCCTCAGCCTCAATCCTCACTAGTTTTTAGATCCAGAAGTTATGAGGACTTCTCTTCCTGGCACTGGAACCTTGGACTGGGGGACCTGGTATGGGACTGGAACCCCTCACTTCTCAGGAGGGATCTCCACAGCCAAGATATCCCTCCAAATTTTTATCTGCCACACATAGGTGTAGGACCAGCCCATTTCAAGACTCTGCCCTGCCTACCAGCCTCAGTGTGGCTTCTTCTTTAATTCCCTAGTTGTAGGACTTCCATTCAGTCAGATTTCAGGCAGTTCTGAATAATGGTTGTTCTGTAGTTTAGCCGTAATTTTGATGTGGTTGTGGGAGGAGGTGAATACCACATTTACCTATGCCACCAACCTGACCAGCAGTCAGGGTCAAATATTTTTACTGTTATTTACAAGTCCCTCTTAGAATGCTAACTTATTATTTTTTCCAGTTTTACTTATAACTAATTAATATGTAACACCATATAAGTTTAAGGTATACTGCATGATGGTTTCATTTATATATATTATGAAATGATTGCCTATCAAAATACCAATGGTGTATTTCACAGACCTAGAACTAATAATCCAAAAATTTATATGAAACCCCAAAAGAACCCCAAATAGCCACAGCCATCTTGAGAAAGAACAGAGTTGGTGGAATCATGCTACCTGATATCACAGCAAACAAAACAGCATGGTACTAGCATAAAAACAGGCGTATAGGTCAATTAAACAGAATAGAGACCCCAGAAATAAACCCACAGCTATATGGTCGATTAAAATATGACAAAGGAGGCAAGAAAATACAATGCAGTCAAGACAGTCTATTCAATAAACGGTGTTGAGAAACTGGACAGATAGATGCAAGAATAAGCTCAAAATGGATTAAAAGATTTACATGTTAAACTCAAAACCATAAAACTTCTAGGAGAAAACATAGGCAGTAAAATGTCTAACATTTCTCTTAGCAATATTTTTTCTGATATATCTCCTCAGGCAAGGAAAACAAAAATAAACAAATGGGAGCACGTCAAACTAAAAAAGTTTTTGCACAACAAAGGAAGCCATCCACAAAACAAAAAGACAATCTACGGATTAGGAAAAATATTTGCCAATAATATTTCTGATAAGGGCTTTATGTCCAAAATTTATAAGGAGCTCATAACAACTCAACATTGGAAAAACAGTCTAATTAAAAAATGAGAAGAGGACCCGAATAGACTCTTCTCCAAAAGGATATGCAGATAGCCAAGAGATCTATGAAAAGATACTCAAAGGTATAATTACCAGAGAAAAGCAAATTAAAACCATAATGTGCTATCACCTCTCACCTGTCAGAATGGCTATCATTAATAAATCAACAAACAAGTGCTGGCGAGGATGTGGAGAAAGGGAAACTCTCATACTTGTTGGTGGGAAAAGATTGGTGCAGCCACTATGAAAAACAGTTTAGAGGTTCCTAAAAAATTAAAAATGGAACTGGATATATATATATCTACTTCTGGGTATATAACCTAAGAAACATAATACACTAATTCAAAACAACAAATGCACCCTTATGTTCACTGCAAACTTATTTACAATAACCAAGATATGGAAACAACGTAAGTGTCCACCAATAGATGAATGGATGAAAAAGTGGTGGCATAGACCTCTGGCCAAGATGGAGGCATAGGTGGAAATACTGTGCCTCCTCACACAACCAAAATTAAGGACAACAAAGATTTAGAAACAAAAACACAACCAGAATAGACAGAAAATTGAACTGTATGGAAGTCCAACAACCATTCATCCAGACCAGTAAGAGGGGTGAAGTTGGTGGCCAGTGGAGAGGGGTACCAGCAGGAAAAGGTGGTAGCTGGCAGACCCGGACACACAGGCGGCAGTTGGCAGACCCCAGGTGTGGGGAGAGAACAAGTAGACCCAGTGAGGCACGCAAGGAAGTTGGCTGGTCTCGGTCACACATTTGCTCTCGGATAAACCAGGCAAAAACAGGCAGCGAGACAGACCATGCAACCCAAGAACCCAGAGATGGGAAATAAAGCCTAAAAGCACCGATTGAAAAGGTGCCGGGAGAAACTCCCAGCCTCACAGGAGAATTTGTTGGAGAGACCCACAGGATCCTAGAATGTACAAAAGCCCACCCACCTGAGAACCAGCATCAGAAGGGCCCAATTTGCTTGTGGGAAGTAGCAGAAGGAACTGAAATCCAAGAGAGAGTGGAACAACTGCCATTGTTCCCTCTCTGACCCTACCCCCACATACAGCATCACAACACAGTGACGTGGGTTGCCTCGCCCAGGTGAACACCTAAGGCTCCACCCCACGTACGTAACAGGTGTGACCTGACAAAAAAATTATGGCTCAAACAGAACAGATCAAAGCCCCAGAGCCAATATTCTTAAGTGACCAAGAGATAGCCAACCTATCAGATGCACAGTTCAAAACACTGGTGATCAGGATGCTCACAGAACTGGTTGATTTTGGTCACAAATTAGATGAAAAAAATGAAGGCTACACTAAGTGAAATGAAGCAAAGTGCACAGGGAACCAATAGTGATGGGAAGGAAACTGGGACTCAAATTAATGAAGTGGACCAGAAGGAAGAAAGAAACAACCAAACAGAAGAGAATGAAGAAAGAAGAATTCAAAAAATGAAAAGAGGCTTAGGAACCTCCAGGACATCTTTAAATGTTACAACATCTGAATTATAGGGGTACCAGAAGGGGAAGAGGAACAGCAACCAGTAGAAAACTTATTTGGCCAAATAATAAAGGAGGACTTTCCCAATCTGGTAAAGGAAATAGACTTCCAGGAAGTCCAGGAAGCTAAGAAAGTCCCAAACAAGTTGGACCCTAGGAGGAACACACTAAGGCACATCATAATTACATTACCCAAGATTAAAGTGAAGGAGAGAATCCTAGAAACAGCAAGAGATAAGGGGACAGTCACCTACAAAGGAGTTCCCATCAGGCTCTCAGCTGATTTCTCAAAAGAGACTTTACAAGCAAGAAGGGGCTGGAAAGAAGTATTCTAAGTCATGAAATGCAAGGACTTACATCCAAGATTGCTCCATCCAGCAAAGCTTTCATTTAGAATAGAAGGACAGATAGAGTGCTTCTCAGATAAGGTCAAATTCAAGGAGTTCATCATCACCAAGCCCTTATTATATGAAATGTTAAAGGGACTTATCTAAGAAAAAGAAGACAAAAAATATGAACAGTGAAAGGACAGCAAACTCACAATCATTAACAACCACACCTAAAACAAAAACAGAAACAAACTAAGCAAACAACTAGAACAGGAACAGAAGCATAGAAAAGGAGATCACATGGAGGGTTAGAAACAGGGGAGTGGGAGGAGGAGAAGGGGGAGAAAGTACAGAGAATAAGTATGCTACTTATTCTCTGGAAACAAAATAGACAGAGGGCGGGCAAGAGTAGTATGGGAAATGTAGAAGCTAAAGAACTTATGACACATGGACATGAACTAAAGGGGGGTATGTGGGTGGGAGGGTGTGTGCAGGGTAGAGGGAAATAAAGGGGGGGAATGGGACAACTGTAATGGCATAATCAATAAAATATATTATTTTAAAAAGTGGTGGCATAAATATACCATTATCTATAATGGAATATTACTTGGCCATGAAAAAGAATGAAATCTGACCATTCGTGACAGCATGGATGGACCTACAGGATATTATGCTAAGTAAAATAAGTCAGAGAGAGAAAGACAAATACAATATGCATTCACTTATGTGTGAAATCTAAAGAGTAAAATAATAAACAAACAAAATAGAAGCAGACTCATAGATACAAAGATCAGATTTATGGTTACCAGATGGAATGGAGGATAGAGGACTGTGTGAAAAAGGTGATGGGATTAAGAAGTACAATTTGGTAGTCCCAAAATAATCACAGGGATGTAAATTACAGCATAGGAAATATAGTCAATAATCTAATGACTATGTATAGTGCCACTTTGTAAAGCACACGATTGTCTAACCACTATGCTGTACACCTGGAACTAATACAAAATAATATTGAGTGTAAATAGCTGCACGGCATCTATCCCATTGTAGCAATGTATCATAATTTGTTAATTAGTTTCCTATTTAAAGATATTCAGCCCTGGCTGGTGTAGTTCAGTGGATTGAGTGTAGGCCTGCGAACCAAACAACCATTGTTCGATTCCCAGTCAGGTCACATGCCTGGGTTGCAGGCCAATTCCCAGCAGGGGATGCACGAGAGGCAACCATACATTTATATTTCTCTTCCTCTCTCTTTCCATTCCCCTCTAAAGATAAAGAAAATCTTAAAAAAAAAAAAGATATTCAGGTTGTTACCACATCACAACAATGCTGCAAAGAACACCCTTAAACATAAGCCTTTCAACATTGGCACCAGCATTTCTATAGGACAAATTCCTAGCACAAAAATCACTGGGTCTGAGAGCACACATGTGTATTTTACACTTTGATAGATATTCCTGAATGCGTTCCCAAAGGTTGTATCAACTTTTACTCCCATTGTGTCAATACTGGGTATTTTCCCCTACTCAGACCAGTCCAAAAAACAGCCTTTTGTTTTAATACTCATTTAAAAATATTATGAGTGGATATTAGCATAAGAGTTATCATTTTATGTAATAAATTAGAATTGCAGTTTTCCATATTACTCTATGTTCCGGAAACTAATGTCTAAGAATTATCTGTTCCTTAAATTTTTACTAGAGTTTTCCCATAAAACCAACAAGCTTAGAATTAATGAAAGATAGTTTCTTAATAGTGTTCTCACTTCTTTGTCTACCCATCAGTGAAACTTTACTACTTATAAACCCACTTTTTAAAATTTTTTTTGTTTCTGAAAATTATCCATTTCAGTTTTTTTAAAGTTTATCAACCTATAAGTAAGCATATACTCATTCACAACTTAAACAAGCTTTTATTGTTGAGTTTGCAAGAGTCTTGTTTGTTTTCTCATTTTTTCCCCTAAATAACTACTTCCTAGATTTATTATACCCTTTGCTACTCTGTTTCCTAATAAATTTATTCCCTCATATGTTTTCATTACTTTTCAAACTATGAGTTTCCTTAGGGCTCACTCCCCTCTGTTTTGTTTTGTTTTGTTTTTCTTTAAAAAATTCATTGATTTAAAAAATTCTTCCCATTTTAAATAGCCAAAGCATTTAGCAGTATAAATTTAGTATTAGAGTGCAGCTTTAGTCATATTCCAGGTGTTTTTAAAAAATATGTATTGTTCTGGCTTTTTTACAATTTATTTTTACCTTTTTATTGAATTTATTGGGAGACACTGGTTAACAAAATTGTACAGGTTTCAGGCGCTCTGGTTTTCATTTTCTAAATAGCACGTTATTATAGATGGGGTCTGGCAGAAGCAAGGCTTGCCTGAGGGTGGTTGGTAGGGTACGTGAATGTCTCTCTCGAGATGGACAGCACTGTGAACATTTTACCTAAAATGTCACATGGTATGCTTGAGTGTGATATTATGTTACAGAATTACATGCTTGTGATTTTGTAATAAAAAGGGGCATTATTTGTGCTGGACCCTGTATATTTCTTTACTAAGAATTTAAAATAGTTTATCTTGGTTGAGAGATGATATTTACCCTTTTATTACTAATTTCTAATAAGAGTGGACAGAGAATTTGGTCCATGGTAACCTAAAGATTTTATTAGAATTAGAATTTTTTTTCTGTGGGCTTAGTATTATGTTATTTTTTAATGGTGTATTAAAAATCTAAAAAGTACAATCTGTAGGAACTAAAATTCTTAACATATATTAAAATAACTTTTAAAACATTTTTCAAATATATACTAATATATTTTTCAATATATTAGATCAAATATATGCTTTACAGATGTTTTCTCACTTATTAAGACAATACTATAAAAGGACAAATATTATTTGATCCCAGGTATGTGAGGTGTCCAGAGCAGCCAAATTCATAGAGACAGAAGGCAGAATGAGGGGGTAGGGGTTCCCAGGGCCGGTACGAGGGTAAAGGGGAGTTGTTTAATGGGGACAGCGTTTCTATTTGGGAAGATGGAAAATTCTGGAGGTGGTGGTGATGGTTGCACAACAGTGTCAATGTACTTAATGCCACTGAACCATACACTTAAATATGGTTAAAGTGGCAAATTTTATGTTATGTGGCTTTTGCCACAATAATTTTTTAAAAATCCTGTGATCTGGTTATCTCTATTTATCTAGTAGGTGATGCAGTGAGGTTCTGAGGCCACTGCACTGATCGGTGGTAGAGTCAGGATGTAAACTGAGCGATGCATATTCTAAGCCTTAAGCATTTCACCTCCTGCTGTGAGAGCTTCAGAGGATTGCACCTGACGCCCAGTATTCCCCAAACTAGGGAACAGGATGTGACAGTTTCACTCAGATACCTCCAGTTCTCCAAGGGACAATTTGCTTATTTCTCATGTCTTCTCAGCCACCAAGGAACCCACAGAGGGGCCCACCAGCACCATTACCACCACCACAGTTGGCGTCAATGTATCCAGGGAAGAGAGGAGCTCAGGGTCTTGGCCTCTGACTCCAGGAGCTACAGTTGGGGTGGCAGTGGGTAGTGCTGTGCTCATAATTGCAACTTTGGGACTGATGGTCTGCCTCAAGTGGAAGAGAAAGAAAGGTAAGTTGTCAAAGATCCCACTCTCCCCAAGCTTCCGAACCAGGTGTTTCTCTGAACCCACCTGCATCAGAATGACCACAGGTGCCTGTTACAATGGCAGATCCCTACTGGGGGGAGCTCTGGACTTGGGAATCTGCATTGTTAACAGTCTCCTCAAGTTGTGTCTGTGAGAGACCAAGTTTGAAACCAGTACTCCAGACCAACTTCTTGCCACAAGTCTGATCACTTTACAGTTCTTATTTCTTGACTTAATCATTTCTCATCAGTCCTCACCATTTGGTTCATGGAGAGGACAGAACAGAAGGGACAGGAACTTGGCTCAGTTCAGCAAGCATTAGTGGGGTGCCCCTTTTCTAGGCCTGGCTTGTAATTGGAGATGTAAGCAAATAAAACAGAGGCCCTGCTCTCACATAACTTTTGAGGGGGCACAAGGTGCCTCATGGGCTGATTGCTTCACTTGGAAAGAGCTATGGTACATTGGGAGGAAGGAGAGGAATCAGGGAGGACTTCCTAGAGGAAGTAACACTGTCAAAAATTCTCAAAGAATAAAAAAAGAATTAGCCACAGAAGTGGTTAGGGTATTATAGAGATTTCTGTTCCTCCAAGCAAAGGAAACCATTCTGGTAACTGTAAGTAGCTCAGTGCTATGAAGGAGGTAGAAGATGGGAGAAGAGGACATGAAGCAACCAAGAGGCAACCTCACTTTGCCTTGCAGGTACGTAGATCTACAGAGAGAGACAGATTCTGGAAAAGGTTAAGAGGGAATCAATCAGTAAGACTTGGTGATTGGGTTGATGTGGGGGTGAGGGAGCAGGAAGAAGTCTCACATTTACAACTTGGGTGAACAAGGCTATAATGAAACAAAGTGAATTAGGGAACATAGGAGGTCAAAGGCCACGTTTTGGGGAGAGAAAGATATTTCCTTCAGATTGGGATATGTTATGTTTGAGATACCTGTGTGGCATCTGAGTAGAAATGTCCATCAGAAATTTGGATGTATGTCTTAACAGCTCAAAGAGAGCACAGAATTAGAGGCATCAATTATTTATGACCCGACAAGATCAAAATTGATTTGAAATTACTTTAAAAAATGTGCTACAAGGTTTTCCCTATTAGATAGTAAAGCACAAAGGTGAAGAGCATAGAATCTGACTGCCTGCCATCAAATCATGGCTGAGTCAGCTCTGGTGGTATTATTATTACTCAGTGCCTCAACCTACTCATCAGTAAAATAGGAATAATAGTAGTAATTATCCCAGGGGGTTGTCATGACAATTAAACATAACTCATTTAGAATAGACCTTGGCACAAAGTAAGCACTAGATGAACATTAACATACAATTTTTAAGCTATAATAATTAAAATGATGCAACACTAGCATATAATAGATAAACAGATAACAGATAAAGAGATGAAAGAAAAGAAAAAACTCTAATATAGGCAGGATAAAAATAGACCCAAATATATGAAGGAATTTAGTAAATTAAAAGGTAAAATTTCTCATTAATAGAGAAAGATAAGTAATTCAATACGTAGCGCTGGAACCGTTGTATGGAGATGACTTCCCAAAGTATGACATAAAACTGAAAAGCAATGAATAAAAATATTGACAAATTCAACTGCATAAAAACTGAGATCGTTGCCCTGGCCAGTGTGGTTCAGTGGATTGAGCACAGGCTGCAAACCAAAGGGGCACCGGTTTGATTCCCAGTCAGGGCACATGCCTGGGTTGGGGGCCAGGTGCCCAGTATGGGGTGCCCGGGAGGCAACCACACACTGATGTTTCTCTGACTCTCTCTTTCTCTTCCCCTCTCTATAAAAAATGAATAAAATATTTTTAAAAAATGAGATTTTTTTCATATTCTACAAAGAAAACACCACAGTGGTTTCTTCTAAATGTAAGGTAAGTATCAGATATGAAGAGAAAATGTGACATAGTCACCAAGAAAACAAAAGATTGTACTTAACACATTCGACTCAGAGAAGAAACCATAAATCTGTAAAAGCATCATTGCGTATGATTGTGTCTCTCCTCAGCAATATTTAACCATGCAGTTTAGAAACCTTTAGGACTTATTGGTTAGGGCTTGTGTTCACCTGTCAGCACCAGAGACCACAAGTAAAAGTGGTTTAAACAAGACAGAGGATTTTTTCCCCGTCATATAAAAGGATCTGGGGGCAGATAGCAGAACCCACTGTCCTTAGGTACTTAGGCTCCCACCTTTTTCCTCACTGTCCTGAAGGTTGTTTCCTCGTGATCCAAGGTGGCTTATAAGATGCCAGCCATTATTTCTGAATCCAAGCAGGAAACAGGAGGAAGGAAGAAAGGACGGAAAGGCTATGACCCAATTATCTGTCCTCCAGAGAGTAAGGGTGAGGGTCAGTGCAGAGAAAATGTACTCAAGTCCAGGAGCCTTCCTGGAAGTCCTACCCACACGTCCCCTTATATCTTACTGGCCGGAGTTCAGTCATATGTCCCACATCTATCTGTAGGGGAGCACACAGCCACTCCAAATAAAATCAAGGTTCTGTAACTGAGAAAGAAGAGGTGAACAGATACTGGATAAGCAAATAGCGTGCCATGCCATAGACGCATGCAGGGTTGGAGATTTGCCAGCTCAGTGTGGCAGGACAAGGGAACTCAGGAGGTCAAGGAGCTGGTGAAAGGGTCCCAATGGAGAGTGGAGGACTCACAGACATTCTAGGTAACCTGAAACAAGGGGCATTTTCAGGGGACAAGAGCTCAGGGAGGTCAAAGCATGGGTATGAGGGGAAGGTGACAAAAGAGAGCTGGGAGGAAAGAAAGTTGTAGCATGAAAATGATACTAGCATGTAGTTTTAGAGTTCTCATTCTCGGTGATTAAAAAAATAAAGGCCAGGGTATGGCTGAGTGAGGTGGAGGTCATTAGAGTTGGGGGGACGAGTGAGTCCAGTATGTTAGAGGACTGTCCCTGAGGCTCATGAGACCTCCCAGGAGGGTGGTTGGTGGTGGAGAGGATGTGTGTGAACCAGGGACCATATGCCTGGGAAATGCTGTAGAGAAACTTGAGGAGGATCTGGAGGGGAAATAGGGTGTTTGTGGGGGGCTGTAGGTAATAGAGTCCTCAGTGGAAAAGAGGAACAGGCTGCAGTGCAAACACAGATTCCAGCCATGAGGTTCATGAGGTATGAGAAAGAAAGAGCCAGCACTCAAAAGGAAAGACAAGAAGCTGGTTTGTCAGGGCAGGAGGGAGCGATGGTGCCTGTGACAAGAGGGGATAGTGAGGAGTGGGTGGCCAGGGCTCAGCAGTGGAGGGAGCAGGTTGGGGGATTGCAGGGAGGTCAAGGAAAGGGGAAGGACACAGACAGAAAGGCAGGGAGATGGGGCAGCGTGAAGGGGACACGGGGAGCAGAGAGCTTTCCTGATTTGGTGTTGAGGACAATAGCAGGACAGGTGTGGGTGGCTTTAGGGTGCCAGCTGGGTGCTTGCTCTGAGTCCCAGGCCCTTTCCACATGGGTTTCAGCAGAGCTGCTCTGCTGCCCTGGTCTATCCAAGGATGGTGTCAGAGTAGGACAGAGCAGAAATGACAGGAGGAGAGACGCTGTTCGTGGATGTGCACTGACAGGCTATTGATTACTCTACAGGTCTGCAGACTAAAGCAAGAGCCCCAGACAGGTAAGTGCTTGTCCTCTACGTGGGGGGGCACTGGTTTGGGAAATAATGGGTGTAGTTATGAGAACAGTGAGAGAGACCCTTTCACAGCTGCTCTCATCCTTGACTTTCCTATTAACATCTTTGTACATCCCTAATAGGCTTGGCTCTTTATTTCTGGAGGCTCCAGCTCCCAAGAACAAACAAAAAATAAAAATCAAGGACAATGGACCTAGGCGTTCCAGCAGTTTCTGATTCTTTCCCAGAATGTCTCCCTTTTCTCTTTCTCTGGTAACCACTTTTCTCCTCCTTTCACGGGAATTTTTGCCTTTTCCTTCTGTTCATTCTATTTTCTTTCCACCTTGAACACCATCCTTCTCAAACACATTTCCTGTTCCACACTTTTCCTTCTTTCTTGCTCATTGTCCAATCTGCCTTTTCCCTGCTGAGGTGCCCGAAGGGGCCGCAGGAACCATGGCCTCCGTCACCTCTAACATCCGCCTTTTCTCTGAGCTCCCAGCCTGGCCTCCTCTCTTCCAGTCCTCCTCACCTTCCCACCAGTTTCCTTTTCCCCATCCTTCCCATTTCCACATTCTCCCTTCCCTAGGTCCCTCTCTCTCCTTTGACTTTTTGCCAGCTGCCTTCCTTGGTCCCCTGCCAAGGATGGCATCTCCTCCTGGGGACCAAGGCCTGAGCACCCACCCAGAGGCCATGACATGAGCCTCCTGGTTTTCCTTCTCCAGTCTTAACTACGGCAGGGCCAGCAGAGGGGACAGGAACTCACCATTTTGATTTCTCCTCTTGTGCCCCCTTCCTACAAAAGGGGCTTCCCTAGAACAACCCTCTTCCTGCCGGCACTCAGGGACCTCTCCTGGGCTGCACCACAAATCACCTTTCAGCGCTCTTCCAGGCAGCCTCCTTCTGAGAGCCTCGAACCACTGCCTACACCCTCTAACTACGGCCAAGCAGGTCACGGAGCCTCCCACAAGAAAACCAGCCAGATGCAGGCTTTAACTCTTTTGTCTTCAGCCTCTGAGACATTTCGCACCCTTTCCTTCCCATGCAGGGGATCCTTCCATAACACTGAGGAGAAGTATGAGAACATTGGGAATACAGGTCAGTTCTAGCACCGTCACTGCCCACTCTCCACCTTGGCCCTTCCTTCTTCCCCACACTCTCTGCCCACACCCATACCCCTCAGCCTTTTCCTCTTTCCCCTGCTTCTCCCATCCCTCCCACGTGACCCTGGTCCTCCACTGGCAGATGACCTCACTGCTGAGCCCTCCACCCACTTCTCTACCCTGGCTGCCATGCCATCTGACCCTGGCACATCTTGATTTTTTTTCCTAGGACAACATGAAGACCCCAAGCTGGACCCAAAGGTGAGCAGCTCAGACTAGAGTCTGAAAGAATTAAAGGGAAGCTTGGAGAAGGTAGGGTGGAAATATAGAGGGGCTGTGGTATCGGCAGGGCTCTTAGGTGTGGGACCGGTGCTCTCAGACAGGGTCAGCTCCCCTCCACCTCCAGCCCCTTCTCTTTCTGTTCTCACCCAGGTGGATGGCATCCTCTATGCCTCCCTCGTCCTCACCAGCTCGACCTCACCTCCAGCACCTCCCCGCCACCTTCTCCACAACAACCCCCAGGAAGAGACCCTATACTCTATGCTAAAGGCCTAACAAGTGGAACTGAATGATGACCTCTTTACAGTAAGCCACTCGGAGGGATCGCCACTTCCCATATTAGTCCCAGCCAGTCCCAGATGACTCAGAAGTCAACAGGGATCAAAGGCCACCGAGGACCTGAGACAAATAGCCATCTGTTCCAGTTCCCTCTTCAACTGCTTGCCCACAAAAATAAAAGAGCCTATAGGATTTATTTAAATGCATCTAAGGAGAAAAATGATGTCACCTTCAAGTTCTGTCCTTACCAAAAATGAACTATAATAAACAGCACACACCCAAGATCCCTCCTCTAGTTCAGTGATTGCCTCAGGCCTGGAAACAATATAGTAAGTCTCCCAAAACTGGTAGGCAGCTCAGAACTCAAGGTCTTCCCCCAATCTAACTATTCTACTTTCCTTACAATAATAAGTTGGCATGTATTTTCTTATGCACCACGTGATTTAAACATCAATAACCCTATGTTATTAGATGTGCTCATTTGAGACATAAAACAAAGAACCAGAATGGTTTCAGTGCCTTTCCTAAAGCCATACAGCTAGTAAATGATGAGCCAGATGTGAACCCAGATCTGCCCTTCACTATGTCCCTCTCTGGGGACTCAGGTGTCTTTGCCTTCCCACATTCCTACACTGTGCAGTTCTGCCAGAAGCAGTGATGTGCCACAGTGACATGAAGGAGGAGGGAGAGAAGCCAAGTTGAAGCATGTTATTAGAGACAAACCAAACCAATTAAGCCAGTAACCTATTTTATTAACACATAAACCATACAACTCTGACTTTAGCCAATTATTAATCTTGTAGTTAATGACCAATTTCAACAATTCTCTGGGGCCCTCTGAAAGGCTCTCCTTACTGCTCCCAGGGAGGAGGGGATAGAATGCAAACAGAGAACTACTCCTCAAAGAAGGTAAACTCCTCTGTGTCATCTCTATGCTCTAGCTCCACCCTCTGCCCTGCGTTTTTTCCAACATCTTCCATGAGTTGCTCAAGGTCTAGGCCACTGGATGTTTCATCATCAGAGGGGAAGCTTCCAGCGTCCTGTAGTTCCTGAGATCCAGGCTCTTCTTTCCCCATGGAAGGACAGGCCCCGTGATGGGTTGGTAGGATCAGGCCCTTTGGCACCATTCTAACCTCTTTTCCTTCAGACAAGCTGCTTGCTGACACCTTGCTTTGGGGAGCTTTAAATTTTTTCTTAGGACCTGAATGAAAAAGTGACAAAACTGAGAGTCTTATTTAGTCATCTGCCTTACCTTTTACAAATTAAACTTCTAAATTTCTATTCCCAAAATATCTCTGGAAAAGATTACCTTTGTCAATAGAAAGAAATGGGCTTTGTAGTCAGAAAGACCTGGATTCTAGCCATGGATTGACCATATACTAGACACATGAGTCCTGAGTAAATTTTAAAATCTTTGAGCTTCAGACTAAGGCCTTATTGTCCAAATGGCAAATATCCATTCACAGAGATACTGAAAAAATTAAAGAGAACTAGCATGGACGTACCTATCTAGCCAGTGCATGGCAATACTCAATAAATGTTAGTTCCTGTCTCCTTACTATTCTCGACCAAATCCACAACCATTATGTTTCTATAGTGTGTACTGCATCCTACAGCCCTTTTGACCTAATCTCTGTTCTTTTTAAAGTAATGAAAATATGGCAGAAAACTGTACTTGAACAATTAAAATAAAAAAATAATAATATTTTATTGATTTTGTTTAAAAAATAAAGTAACAAAAATCTGTAGAAAATTGTTTTAAAATTATTCAGGAGGAGAGATGCAGACATGAAGCCTATTTCCCCAAACTTTTTTCCAAGAACAGCCTTACCTGGCTCGTCAGGATCTGAATTCCCATGTACTTCTTTCCTTCCCCTTATGGGTACAGGGACAGCTGCAGGTTCATTTCCCAAAGATCTATTCATCCACTTCCTTTGCTGAGCCCCGTCTTGTCCATCCGCTGCGCCTGCATCACCCCAGCCCCCAAATGTGAAGAACATTTGTTTACTTATTTTTTGTTGCTTTTTTTAAGGTTCAGTTGTTGATAGTGTGAATTTGTTGCCATTTCATCTTTTTAAAAAAATATATTTTATTAATTATGCTATTACAGTTGTCCCATTTCCCCCTCTTTATTCCCCTCCACCCTGCACACCCCCTCCCACCTGCATTCCCCGCCTTTAGATCATGTCCATGGGTCATGCATGTAAGTTCTTTGCTTCTACATTCCCTATACTATTCTTGCCCTCCCCGTCTATATTCTACCTACCATCTATGCTACTTATTCTCTATACCTTTTCCTCCCTCTCCTCCTCCTACTCCCCTGTTGCTAACCCTTCATGTGATCTCCATTTCTGTGATTCTATTCCTGTTATAGTTGTTTGCTTAGTTTGTTTTTGTTTTTGATTCAGTTGTTAATAACTGTGAGTTTGTTGCCATTTTACTACTGGTATTTTTTATCTTCTTTTTCTTAGATAAGTCCCTTTAACATTTCACATAATAAGGGCTTGGTGATGATGAACTCCTTTAACTTGACCTTGCCTGGGAAGCACTTTATCTGCCCTTCCATTCTAAATGATAGCTTTCCTGGATAAGGTAATCTTGGATGTAGGTCCTTACCTTTCATGACTTGGAATACTTCTTTCCAGCCCCTTCTTGCCTGTAAGGTCTCTTTTGAGAAACCAGCTGACAGTCTTATGGGTACTCCTTTGTAGGTAACTGTCTCCTTTTTTCTTGCTGCTTCTAGGATTCTCTCCTTATCTTTAATCTTGGGTAATGTAATTATGATGTGTCTTGGTGTGTTCCTCCTTGGGTCCAACTTGTTTGGGACTCTCTGAGCTTCCTGGACTTCCTGGAATTCTATTATTTCCTTTACCAGATTGGGGAAGTCCTCCTTTATTATTTGTTCAAATAAGTTTTCCACTTGTTGCTCTTCCTCTTCTCCTTCTGGCACCCCTATGATTCAGATGTTGGAACATTTAAAGATGTCCTGGAGGTTCCTAAGCCTCTCCTCATTTTTTTGAATTCTTGTTTCTTCCTTCTGTTCTGGTTGAATGTTTGTTTATTTATTCCTTCTGGTCCACACTGTTGATTTGTATCCTGGTTTCCTTCCCATCACTATTGGTTCCCTGTACATTTTCCCTCATTTCACTTAGCATAGCCTTCATTTTTCCCTCTAATTTGTGACCATTTTCAAGCAATTCTGTGAGCATCCTGATTACCAATGTTTTGAACTGTGCATCTGATAGGTTGGCTATCTCTTCGTTGCTTAGTTGTATTTTTTCTGGAGCTTTGATCTGTTCTTTCATTTGGGCCATTTAGTAAGGGTGTTCATGCCTTGGGTGTTCATGCCTTAGGTGTTCACCAAAGCAGGGCAATCCACATTGGTGCATTGTGACTGTATGTGGCGGAGGGGTCCAAGAGGGAACTATGGTACTTGCTCCACTCTCTGCTGGTTTACAGTCACTTCCCCTGCTACCCACAATCATATTGGGTCCTTCTGATGCTGATTCCTGGGTGGGTGGGTTTGTACACGTTCTAGGACTCTGTTGGTCTCTCCAACAAACTCTCCTGTGAGTTGAGTTTCTCCTGCTGGGTCAACCCCTATAAGTGTTTTCAATCAGAGGTTTGAGGCTTTATTTCCCTGTGCTGGAACTCTGGATTGCACAGTCTGTCTTGCTCCCCAGTTGTGCCACCTAGTTTATCTGCATGCAAAGGTGGGACCACCCTGTCTGCCAGCCGCCACCTTGCTGGTCCACCAGCTGCCACCTCGGTGGTCCACCGGCCTGCCTTCCTTACCCTGGTCCTCCAGCCACTGCCTTGCCACGAGTCCTCTCTACTTGGCTGCTGTCTCTGCTCCTACCAGTTTCTTCTGATGAATGTTTCTTCTTTAACTCCTTGTTTGTCAGACTTCCGTACAGTTTGATTTTCTCAGTTCTAGTTTTTTGTTTTTAAATTTGTTGTTGTCCTTCTTTTGGTTGTGCAAGGAGGCACAGTGTGTCTACCTACGCCTCCATCTTGGCCAGAAGTCTGTTTACTTCTCTTTAAATAACAGCTTGTTAAGGGCCCGTGTAGTTCCCACATTTAAGTCTCTGCCCTGCATCTTCTGCTAATCTTAACTTAGTAAATTCTCTCAGTTTCTTTTTTTCCCAAATATTTCCCCCTTTTCTCCTTCACCCTCATCATCTTCTTTTGATGGTTCTCCTCATAGCCTGCCTTCTCCAAGAAGTCATCCTTCTTGGCTAAGAATTTAAAATATTCATTCCTAAGAATTTATAATTCAATATGCAGGAGGCTACAGCTCCTCCAATGACACTCATGAGTCCTACCTGTTTTCTCAGGTTCTGGGACTGAGATAGTCGGTAAGTTCCCAACTACCTGCAGACCCCCTACACTCTCTGTTTCTGCCCTGCCTGAACTGTAGTAGATGTCCCATTTCCAGTTGGCTTACTTACCTCTTGCCTTGGATTTTTTTGTCTGAGTTTTGGCTGGCTTGGGACTAGGCAAAGTTGGGTCCTAAGGATGAGACAGAAAAATAATAGAAATAAATTCACCTAATTGTGTTTTTAAGAGTGGGATATTGCCCTGGCTAGTGTAGCTCAGTGGATTGAGCACAGGCCTGCTAACCAGATGATCGCAGTTTGATTCCCAGTCAGGGCACGTGCCTGGGCTGCAGGCCAGTTCCCAGTGGGGAACGCATAGGAGGCAACCATACATTGTTGTTTCACTCCCTCTCTCCTTCCCTTCCCCTCTAAAGATAAATAAATAAAATCTTTCAAAAAAAAGAGTGGGATACTATATAAATGATGAGAAGATGAGCCACAAACAGAAAAAATTTTGCAAAAGGTATATCTGATAAAGGACTGTTATCTAAAATATAAACCCATAAAATACAACAATAAGAAAATAAACAACCCAATTAAAAATGGACCAAACACCTTAATGGAAACCTTACCAAGGAAGATACAAAGATATCAAATGAAAAGATATTAGACATATATCATCAGGTAAATGCAAATTAAAACAATCAGATAGTACTATACATCTATTACAATGTCCAAAACCCAAAACACATCATCCAGGATGTGTTAGCAAGGATGCTAGCAAGGATGTGAAGAAACAGGAACTCTCATTTGCTGCTGGTTGGAATGCAAAAATATATCAGCTTTTTTTGAAAGACATTTTGGTGGGTTTTTTTTTCACTTTGGTGTTTTCTTACAAAACTAAATATACTCTCACCATATGATCCAGCAATCAATCTCCTTGGTATTTACCCAAAGAAGCTGAA